TCACATGTGTGCGCCAAGCCGAGTCGGGGTGGGGGCGGGGGCGAGGGCGCGTGTATGCACGTTGCATCGAATCTTTTTGGTCTAACCGAATTACACCTTTTCTTTTTTAAATTGAGTCTTTTCAATTTTGAATTTAATTTCAAATTAAAACATTTTCTTCTTGTGTCTCTTCTTCCTCCTTGTGTCTCTTTGGATAGGTGCACTGTTCTGAAGAGTCTCTTGTCTAAAAGGACATGTTTGTGTCCATTTGGGTATGAGAGCACTCTATAAAAAGAGTGTTGGCCGACACAGTCTACACACACACACACACACACACACACCATTTTTCAACATTCTTGTTTTCTCTGAGAAATCTGAGCAACAATCTTCAGTGGTTCGTGGAGGTCTGGTAAGCGAGTGCACGCCTACCAGTGGCCTGTGGGCTGTTTTATCTTAGCGACCGGTTTGCGATCACCTAGCTACACCATAGGGGGCAAATACGAGACTCATCCCCCCATCTTCTTGTAATTCTCAGTTTCGAGTTCCTGCAACAACTTCACATCACTGCAACTTTGATTTGGAAAGCGATTATCGATAAATTCCATCTGCTCTCTTTACTATTATTACAACAAAAACACTACAAATAAGTCTAGGATCTAATTTGTTTATTTAGGATTCTTAACATGTATGAAATGGACACATCCAAAGACTTTAGGCAAGGGAAAGTCATCTTGTGTATGACACAAGATAAAGTATGAGGTTATCATGGCCAATGCACTAGATGGCATTCAATTTGTTAAAAAGGAGGCTATAAGAACTGCCTAAAACCAAAAACTCTTGGGCATTTGACGTTGTAATAACAATGCCTGAGTAGTCTCCCACAAAATGTTTATTCTAGAGCTTAGAAACCCCATTTAGGAGTACGAGCACAAGAAGACTAATGTAAAACACTAGCTTATTCTCAAAACACATTTAAGGAACTTAAAAGTATTCTACTATATTGTCTAAGCAAAATTAATTATATTATTTTTTGTTTGCCAAATTGAGTTTTAGTTATATTATAGAATACCATTGGTGTTTCTTGGTACTTATATACTATTTTTAACAAATGTATTTATCTACATCTGGAATAATGACCATTTATAGAAACAAGGGGTAAAGAGTCCTAAACATAAAAAAAAACGCAAATTTCATTACCTAAAATGGGATATGTGGTTCTACATTGTTTTGACATCTCATAGACATTCGCAAACTAAATTTTAACTCAAAATTGATTAAAACAATTATAGAAACAACTCTTTTAACAAAGAAAAAGACATGACCTAGTTTAACATGCTACAAATGCACCCCAGTTAGTCTCTTTGTCCTCACAACCATTGGAAGCAGATGACTATAGAGCTGAATTGATATCTACATCAAAAGAAAAAGGCCCTCAACTCCATGACTCCTCCTAATCATTTTCCTTGTGATTTTGTCCTAAAAAATACAATGAGTACGGAAAAAGAATATACTACAATTCAAGTTCTTAGTAATTTGGATTATGCAAAAGATTAAAATCAAATATAGAAACATGGAACACAGACTTAAAAGGAGAAATCATCTGTGTGTGTGTATGAATAATAGGACAATTGGTCAGGTCCCCTTGCCTCTACCACAGGCCATTATGAAAAATTTCCTTTTATTTTTTCGCTTTATTTAGGGTGGGAGGGGTCATGGAGCAGGTCAACTTGAATTCAAGGCACCAACATAGTAGGTGGCCAAGGTGACTCAAGAGAAACTAGAGATAATGGTAATGAAATCACAAACGATGCTTAGTTTTGAAACCAAGTAGCATAAACTCTTACAGGAAATCTCTTAAAAATCAATATAGATGGAGATCTCATCAATAAAAGCCAATGTTTTGAACCTGTCATTAACCCATTAGTCAAACTATTCAAATTATCACCAAGCCATGATTCAAGGTCCAATTTTTCTAAAAATTGTTTACCTAGTCAAAACTGTTTGATTCAAGTATTTGAACCATTTCCACATTCAACCTAGTCACTTGGTCATGGATTGCATACTAAATAAATGTACAAACTCCTAAAGGCCATAACTTCAAATAGTAGCTCCCTTGCCAAGGTGTTGTTCCTTATTTAGATTTCATCTTCACAAATTTGATCCCTAAATTGTCCTCAATCTGATCTATGTTTTCAGGTAACTTATTAGTTGAGATTGTTGGATATATCTAAATCTGATCCAATAATGTAAACCCAATATTTGATCTGTTCTAATGATCCGTAACTTAAATTGTCCTCAATCTGATCTATGTTTTCAGGTAACTTATTAGTTGAGATTGTTGGGTATATCCAAATCTGGTCCAATAATGTAAACCCAATATTTGATCTGTTCTAATGATCCGTAACTTAGAAAGATTAATATGAATTCAAATTCATTAAGATGTCGATATAACCCAATCTGATTTAATTACCCATAGGTAAGAAAGAAAAACAAAACAATTTATACGAAGAAAAACAACATAAGCATTTTTTCAACGATTTTTTATCATATATATTTTAAACAAAATTGGGATATATATATTTTTTATAAAACAGAAAAAATAATATTAAAATTTTCAAATAATAAAAATACAATATATGTAGTATATATCAAATAGGGATTGTTCCAATTGATCCAATTTTTAAAGGAATCCTATTTTTGGATCCAATCCAAAAAAGCTCACCATCAGAGAAAATAGGATCAGATTAAAATTTGAATTGGATCATGATTCTATCCGTTTACATCCCTTGTCTGTCTTTGTCTATGTTTTTCTTTTTTTGGTAAATTACACATTAGTATCTTGTAATTGATCCATTCTTACTCTGATACCTACTGTCAATCCGATACGTGAATTCCCAAAACATCCCAATTTAGTCCAAAATCATTAATTACTCGACCATCCAAAATACTCAAATCCAAATGGATTGTTTATCATTCTTTGGTTCAATCTTGACTTTTGAGGAAAAAGATGATCAATAATGTCTTATTTTAAGTTTTAAGTCACACATGTCATAAATAAGGGATGAAATACTAACCACAAGGACTATATTGGGATGTTTTGGGAGTTTAAATACATTATTGACACGTTTTGAAATTCGACTATCAAATTATCGGGCACTAATGTGCAATTTAACGTCTCCTTTTCTTGTTCCACGTGTGATTGCCTGGGTAGAATTCGCATTTGCTCCTCACAAAGGGTGCCCCACAGCACATCCCAACATTGTATTGGGAATGTTCCCAATACACGGGAGATGTGATTTGGGAGATGTTCCCAATGCACGCTGAGATGTGCATGTGGGGCACAAATGTGAACTCACCTAGGTGGGCTCCATCCACAACAAACCTTCCCCCTCCATTCATTTCAATCAGTGTTTTTATAACTGGACCGGACCGGATGGTTAGACCAAAAAAATCAGAAATTGGTCATCAGATCGATTCCATTTCACTATAAAACCATTTTTTGACAAAAACCGTTGATTTGATCAATAAACCGCTGACCCAAGTGGTTTATTTTTTATTTTTAATTTTTTAAATTTTTGTCAGAACAAATTATCTAGAACCAAAAGATCAGACCATTCAACCCGGGAACCGACCCATAACGGTTCCCGTGTACGTTCCGATTTTAGAACCTCCTCCACATTCGCATTAATCGCTCTGACTAGCGAATCTTGATTAAAGCGAGACCGGATCACCTACCAATAATATACATTCCAACCCTCTACCAACTTTACGGGACCCGCTACGAGATCTATTGTGTGAGATGATGGTGGTAGAGCGTTGGAACGTATCTTGTTGGCAGAAAATCCCAATTCGCAAAAAGCAGAGCACGCAGCCCGGCGTTTGAACTTATCTAACATTATTTTCTTCTGGTCGCCTAGTTGGTCAATACAAAATAATAAGTAAATAATTTAAAAGTAATTACTGAATGAGCCGGGATGTGCTCCTCACAAATGGTCGCCTCACAGCCACATCCGTCGTTCATGTTAGGATGTGCATGGTAGGATGCGCCTGTGAGGCGCTAGGAGTGAAAAGCAGATCCGGTCTATGAATGAATGACAACAGCCAAGCATAAAGGTTGTCGTCGCACTCCAAATTGTGTGATTTGTCTATCTGTGGAAGATCAACAGCTGCACTTCGTTTTCAGGTTTGTGGAAGATAAAAAGGTATAAGCAGCTGCGACCACAACGGATTGCAAAACAAAGAAGAGCGAGAAGCGATGGAGAAAACGGAGGTCGTGTTCGTTCCGATATATGGAGTTGGTCACCTGTTCTCGTCGGTTGAGCTTGCAAAGCGACTTATCCATCGAGATGATCGCCTCTCCATCACCGTCCTGTGTATGAGGCCACCGTCTTTTTACGGTGTTGACCCTTATGTTGAATCCCTTGCTGCCTCCAACCCTAGCATCCGTTTCATTGGTCTGCCTCAGGTCGATCCCCCGTCGCCGGAAGTTTATAATGGTCCAGAAGGGTTCATATCTCTCTTCGTTGAAAGTTACAAACCACACGTTAGGCACGCTCTCACCCAACTTATGTCGCCCGGTTCTGGTGCTCACACGGTTCGAGTCGCTGGGATGGTGATTGATCTCTTCTGCACCTCCATGATCGATGTAGCCAATGAGTTCGGAATCCCTTCGTACTTGTTCTTCACTTCTGGCGCAGGGCTGCTCGGTCTTATGCTCCACCTTCCAACACTCGATACTCAGATTCCCACTGGCACCGAGTTAAAGGACGCGGAGACTGAGCTAAAATTCCCAAACTTTGTCAACCCAGTTCCTCCGTTCTCCTTGCCTAAGCCCTTGTGGAACAGGAAGGAACATGGCTATACATGGTTCGTCTATCACGGTCGCAGGTTCAAGGAGGTGAAGGGCATCATAATTAACACATTTGCAGAGTTTGAATCCCATGCCGTTAACTCGCTGTCTGATGGTCAAACACCAGCGATTTACCCGGTTGGGCCGTTGGTTCAACTCGAGGGTCTGTCGCACTCGTTGTCCGACCACACCCGCACCCAATACAGCGAGATCATGAAATGGCTCGACGACCAGCCTCCGTCGTCGGTGGTGCTCCTGTGCTTTGGCAGCATGGGCGGCTTTGATGAAGCCCAGGTAAAAGAGATAGCCATTGGCCTTGAGCGAAGTGGTTACCGGTTCTTGTGGTCTCTACGTCAAGCCAGGGTGGGGATGCCCATGCCTAATGCTTATCCAAATCCGAAGGAAGTTTTGCCTGATGGTTTCTTGGAAAGAACGGAGGGAAGGGGATTCATCTGTGGGTGGGTCCCGCAGGTGAAGGTCCTGGCCCACCCAGCCATCGGAGGGTTTGTATCTCACTGTGGATGGAACTCGACACTGGAGAGTCTGTGGTATGGTGTACCGCTGGCGACATGGCCCCTCTATGCGGAGCAACATTTAAACGCGTTTCAGTTGGTAAAGGAATTGGGGTTGGCGGTGGAGTTAAGGTTGGAGTACCGGAACGGTGTGGATCTGGCGAGTGCAGAGGAGGTGGAGAGAGGTATGAGGTCTCTGATGGCCGCTGATAGTGAAGTGAGGACAAGGGTTAGGGAGATGGGGGAGAAGAGTAGAGCGGTTTTGGTGGAAGGTGGATCTTCATTTGTTTCATTAGGACGCCTGATTGAGGATCTGATGCATAATAACTGATGCGAGGAGAGTGGAGAAATCTCTGAAATAGCGCGGTCGTTAGTGTGAGTTGTTCCAAATTCCCAGATGAACTGATAATTTAGTGGATGAATTCAAGTTGCTTTTGTATTTTTTTATCCTTTTTTCTTCCCTTTTCTCTCTTCTGTGTGAACAAATTCTGAAGTTACTGTATCTGTTCTTTTATAGGAGATCCCAATAGTTTATCTTGTAAAATGTACATGTGTAATGCTATTATGTCATCCTTCTTTGTGTGTCTTGTGGGTGCGGATGCCTCCACAACTTCACCATTAGCTTTCTCTAGACATTTTAGTCTACATAAAGAGTGCTTACCATTGTATATGTGCTAACTTCATGGTTCCGTGGATGAATGTTTTGGAGCATCAATCACTAATGATGGTAATGGAGGATTTGGAACTGTTGTGGATTATAACAGATTATAGATATACTTATTTGGAGTTCAAAGCTCTGATTTGTGAGGTTAGTTTTATCAATGACATAGGACTACTTAACACACATGTTGAAGATTGAAGGGACCAAAAAGAAATATGGAAGACTTTTGGTTGGGGAGAAGGTAAATGTCATGAATGCGACAATTTCTGTTCTTGAAGATTTAGGTTTAATGGGATGCAATATTATTGGTCTCAGTTTGGGTTCTCACTTAATGCTTGGGCATAAGGTCTCTCCAAAGAAGAGCCAGCCCCATTATTGCTCATCTGAAAGTCTTGTTAGTGCTTTCTCATACAACAATTAAACAGATCAGGGGATATGATCCTCAATACAAGTCTTGTCTGTTTGCACAATTGCATTTCCTCTTGCAAGTAAATCAGATAGAGAATTTTCAAACATTGGTATCCAAGTGAATCAAGCATGTGGACTTTAATGTGTATGAAATTGATAGTTTTCATTCTTTTTTTAATAGTTATATCTGTTACTTTATTTTATGCCAAATTTCTACATACTTGGCTTTCATTCTACTTTACATAAATGGAAAACTTAAATAGATTAGGAACTAGTTTTGATTTGTGTAAATGGAGTTGCATTTGGAATTTTTTTGAAGATCATTCTATGCAAGTCATTGGCATGGTCCAGAGGAAGCCTGTCCGTGGTGATATGACATATTGTCAGCGTTGTCCGATAAAATAGCATGTTGGAATGGTGTGGGGATTCAAGGTCTATTACCTGATATTGCTTTTGCAGTCAACTAGCAACATTGTTCAGTTTGTTTAATAGATTACAGATTAACGTTATCATGTTTATTAGATAACTCAAAATAAAAACATTATCAGGTCTATTACCTGACAGAGCATTTTTTGTCACCCTCATTTTGGCTAGTCAAGTTATTTTCCAAGAGTGTATTATTTATTCAAAGATAGTGAAAACCAATCATCCTTAAAATGAAGGGTATTAGTCTATGTAGAATTGTGGATGGTAACAAAAATCAACTTTAGTGTGGTATGAGCTTGTTAAGATGGGAGGTAGAAAAGAATTTTATTTCTCATTTTTATTTTCATTCTTTTGAATGAATTGAACTGGGAAGACAATTTATTTACAAAGGTAAAATGAGCTGCATATTCAATTTTTTGTATTCTTCTATAATATTGATGTTATAATAAAGTAAAGACTGGAATAAAGCCTTTAAACTAAAATGGTGGTTTGTTTTAATGTTTCTCAAAGAAATTCTGTGCATTTTAATTGTTTTAACTACTCTCTACCGATTTAATAATTTTGAGTTATGATAGATACCATAGGTTTTTTGTGTCCATGACAGTATAAGTTAACTGCATATTCAATTTATTTGCTGCTTATTGAGACCGAGTTTTTTCCCTAGTGGTAGGTCTTTCCTGTTAAATGAGTGGTTACCTCTAGAGTTGCAGAGATCATTGCCAGACAGATCCCCTAACATGCACCAAGAAACTGCTAATATACATTATAATGGTGAGATCATTTTTTCAGAGATACTATGAATATCAATACTAGACACTTTTGTTCTTTTTAGAGGATGGATATCAATACTAGATAGATCTTTGAAAATTATGTATTAGATCCCACATATGACAAGGAGTTGATGTCAATCCATATTCTTTAAATGCCATGCAAGGTGACAAAGTAGGTAATCTTCCATATAATTGCTCTTAATTCAAAAGAAATGAATGGACAACACTGTTTACTATAAGAAAACTGATCTATAGTGGCATATATCCATTGCTATAGGTGTTTAGTGGTGTTTTAACGTCGGTTATACTTCTGTTGCTACAAGTTACATCGGTAAAAGAATTTGTGATGAATAAAATCATCCGTTGCTATAATATTTTCAACCCATTGTTGACCAAACCGGTTGAACCGTTCGAATCGTCACCTGGCCAGGATTCCAGGTTTGGTTTGGTCAAGACCCACAAGACAGTCAAAAGCCATGACTTGGTTAATAACTGTTCAACCCAGCTAGTTCAACCATCGACCCGTTCGACTCGGTGACCGGGTCGTAGGTTGCACTCAATGCATGCAAAACTTTCTGAGGCCAAAACTTTGCACTTCGATGTCCAATTGGGGTCCTTTTTTTTATTTTGGGTAAATTTTTGAGATCTATGCATCCCAAGGAGCCATAGGTGCCTTGCCCTGCTATTTTTGTGAAAAAAATCCCTTTTTTGGCCTCAAATTGCAATTTTTAATATTTTTTATTAATAAAAATTAAAACATGAATTAAAAAACATAAATTAAATACAAAATAATACATATAACATATTTATTGTTCAAATATATATTTATACACATATATACATAGATACACACATATACGTATATGTATATAAATATATATACTTAATACATATATGCACTACCGTGGCATGGTCTGAGCCATTTAACCTGGTTGGATGAACTGGTGACCCGTAACTCAGAGGCAAAAATGGTTCGGTTTCCAAGTTGGATTTTTAAAACATTAGCAGTCGAAATATGTGTTACTAAAAATATGACATTTGTTGTTATATTAAGTGATAGCAGCTTATCTGCCACTATAGACCAAAATCACAATAAATATATATGATATAACGACGTTTGTAACTGCCAATAAATGTAATGCTTCGTCAATCTAAAAGATACATTGGTGGTTATATCCTCCACTATAAACTAATTTGCCGCTATAAATTAATTTGTGGCTTATATGTTACATATAGCTGTGGTTATATTTATTATTATAAATTAATCTGTGGCATATATTTTACATATAGCGGCGAGTATGACCTCTGCTATAAACAATTTTGCGGCATATATTCTATGTATAATGACGATAATATTTGTCGTGATAAAAGTTAATAAATTTATAGCCTTAATGGAAGTTCTGAAAGTTAATAAATTTTAATGGGATACACAAAGTAATAAATTTATAGCGGCAAATATTTGTTTATATCAATTTCTACAAATTGATATAAACAATCATGAATTCATAATTTGTAAAAGCTATATATCCAAATTTCAGAATTTCCATTAAGGCTATTCACAAAATATTGAAAATTTTTCAAATTGGACCGGCTCGAACCGATGGTGGTCGGTTTCAGTTTTGAATTATATATAAACCAATTGATTAGTTCAAATTTTGGTAATGAATTTGTAAACCGAGTAAAACCAACCTAAACTGAGGACATATCAATGTAGAATGTTACTTTGTGTACCTCATTAAAATGAAAGATAGTCTCCCTCTCTCATCTAGTCATGTCCCACTTTCCCACTTCTCAAAGCCCAGTGAAAATTCAAAAATATAAATACTCTTTTCTAACCTAAGACAAAAAATGTAAACCTAATTCTAGCCCATGCACTAAGGTATAGCTCCTACTCGTAGACATAGTACAACTGTGAACTATTCATTAAATACTATCTATTATTAAACATCAATCGGACTTTTCTAATATCATTTCTTTTATTTTTATTAGTAATTTTGTTGCTTTATGATTTGATTTTCAAAATAAAATATCAATTAATCAAATAAAGATTTTTTATTACTTATGAAAGTTATTTTCAAACAGATTTTAACTCTACCATTAGAATAGAATCTAAACAAGAGCTTTTCTTTCAAGACAAATCTATCATCAATCATTTCATTGGGAGTCAAGAGTCTCGAGAGAAATGCAAAAGTAAATGAATGAAAGAATCAATTAGAGAAAAAAAAAAAGAAATCTCAGTTTGGTTTAAACCGACCAAACCGGACATTCAATAATTACTATGAAATGTAAGTTTTTGTAATTTTTAGGTCGGTTACGATTAGCATAATAGTCAACCCGAGATGTTCAATTCTATTGAAAAAATTCTATACAACAGGATCAAACTGACCCATGTATAACCCTACTTTCCATACATTATGTATCATAACTAGTTATCTTGTTACATAATAAACCAAAATGACTTTTTCAAATCATGCACCCATATGCCTATTGTTGTGTCTTGTTTACATATTGACATCCACAAGAAGGAGGCAAAGTAGAGCAATGAGCATCTTGAGACATTTTCTCCTCAAAAGGTCCATGCTCCACTTCACACTTCCATCTTTCTAGGTCCTAGACCACCTTCTCCCCTCTTGCCAACTCCTCTACCACCAACTCTAGCCCCTCTCTACTGATACACTCATCCTTTGCCACACCACCCAAGGTTCAAAATTTTGCAATGTGTCAACCCTTATCGACCAATACATATTTTATCTTTGACTACCTAGCACGGGAAATGATACTAAATCGTATGTACTATTCATAGTCATTGTATTGTATGCTTATTGGTACCATATTGTATCAACCGATATGCTACAATTTATTGTGTTTGTGGTGACAAATTTAAAAACCCTTCGAAAGAAGGCTTCTAAACACACTTTAGAAACCTTCTTCCTTTCCCAAACTCTCCAGAATCATTCCTTTCATTCCAAGTTGCTGCAAAAAGAGAAAAAATAGGTATATTTTGTCAATTTTGTTTTTACAATATCATGTAATATTTTTGTGTTTCCTTTCACTTGGTTGCTTAGAAACATTTTTATGCATGTTGACCGGCTTCCCTTGTGTTAAAAATCGCACATATTTTGTTGCTAAAGTAGATCCTTGTGAATATTTGAAGAAATTTTAGAATAATGAAAAATACAAAAAAAAATGAAAGTTTTATGTTTTTGATGTGATTTACCTCTAAAATTAATTATGTTGCAGAGCTATGGATAATCAACCATATCCATATATAAACTGAAATTTTCTCTAAAATAATTTCTTTTTTTTTAAGTTTTGGAATTATATATATGGGAAAATTCCCAATTAGTACCCTGCACTTTGGGCCTACTGCCACTTTGGTCCCCGAACTTTAAAGTGCGATAATTCAATACCTAAACTTTCAAAATGTGTTAATCAAGTACCTACCGTTAACCAGCCATTAAATACCTTTGAAAAAGACACAAATGCCCTTCAAGTGTCATCTAATTTTCACTATCAACCAACTTTCTTGAATAGAAGAAGCAACAATTTGAGATTGTTAATTTTTTCTCAAGGTTTGGATGGTTGATAAAGAAAGTTAGATGACACTTGAAGGGCATTTGTGTCTATTTCAAATGCCACTTAACAACTGGTTAACAACTGATTAATGGTAGGTACTGATTTGACACGTTTTGAAAGTTTGGGTATTGAATTGTCACATTTTAAAGTTCAGGAACCAAAGTGGCACTAGACTCATAGTATAGGGTACTAATAAGGAATTTTCCCATATTATATGTGATCTCACCATATAGGTTGAGCATGTTGTATAGCTAAGATTAGTCTAACACATTCCATAATTGCATCCATGAATATATTGAAATATCATGTGAAATTTTAATTTGTTTATTTTTATTTTTATATTTAGTTTTAAAAAATTATTTGTTTTTCTAGTTTTTTGCTATGATATAATCATAAATATTTACAATGTTGTAAATATATTGATGATCTATTATGTCCATAAAGTCATTCAATTTTTTGGGCTCTTAATGGGCCCAACATTTACATTAAATGATTATTGAATCCAGCCATCCTATGAAGGCCCAAGGACAATGGACTTATGTAAGATATAGCCCATCAGGTAAAATAACCCTCAATGGTCTCTTACACTTAACTTCTCAGTCTATAATGATCAAACACTACTCGATAGTGAATGACCTCTCCCCTGGCTGCAAGGTACAGTGTCGTAGTCTCTCCTTGGATGGGTCCCAAGAATTAAAACATTTTTCAAACACTTAAAACATAATATATATATATATATATATATATATATATATATTATCTATAAATATATTTTGCAAAACAAATTTCAAACACGGTTGAAATCGATTGTCGACAGTTTTGGTTTCCATAAGAGAGAATGCAATCATGAT